TTGTACATTTCTTTTTATTAATGATTTTGTATCACTACTAATTCCTTCCCACCAATTTCTAACATTTCCTTCAAAAGATGCAATTAAAAAATCTACTCTCCTTTCAGTATTTTCCCATGTATCATCTTTATTATATAAAAAGAATAATATCATTGAGTCTGCCCAAGTTATTAAGGCTTTCTTAGTATCTATTTTGTAATCTAAGTCTAATTTTGTTCCTCCATGGTTAATAAGTTTATCATAATTATTATTTAATTCAAATCTATTACTATATTTATTTCATTTGGACGGTTGTTTATCTCTTATTTTATTATAAAATTGTCTATATGGTTTATTATACATCGGAGCATAACTTTCATCTGGATCTATTGATTCTTGTTTAGAGGTTCCTACGGGATTAGGTCCTCCTCCAGTATTCATTAAGATTTGGTATTCATCATCTATACTTTCGAAACTTAAATGATCAAAATTATCTATGAGTAGATCTAATTCTTCATTAATCTTCTTTGTCTTGATTTTCTTCAATTTTTTGTTCATCTAACATTTTTCTCTAGATTCCTCTTCTTCTATTATTTTAGATAATATATATTTTTTTAAACTCATCATCCATGCTTCCTGTTTCTATTATTATATTTTTCCTTTCAATATATTTTTTCTCTATTCTGGTTATTTCTTTTTCTATAAATTTTTTATCTATTCTATTATTCTTTTCTTCATTTTCTTTTAATTTTCTAACTTCAAGTTTCAATATATTTATATAATTTCTTGCTTCTTTTATTTCATTCTTTATTTCTTGTACATCATTTATTAATGTTCTTACTAAATGTTTTAATTTTTCCATATGTTCACTAATTGACATTTTATCGATTTTTTGATTGACAATAATAAAATGTTATACACTCAGCATTTTTACACTCTTTTATCATTTTATCATATTTTTGTTTTATAACTTCAAGATTTGTTAGCTCTTTTAATTTTTCATAATACCTTGCATTTTCTTTATACCTTTCTTGTTTTAATTTTAATATTTGTTTTTCTTGAGTTTTAGTTATATCTCCAGGTATTAATAATTCATCCAAAATTTTATTATTTATTAATCTTATTCTTCTTAACTTTTTTTCTAAAATATTTTTAGTTTCTTCCATTATATTTTTATGTTGATTCAAATATTTCTCTATGGTATAATTCATTTTCAAATACTTCGATAATTATTTCATATGTACGTCTATTTTTGATAAATCCTACAATTAATTTATATAATATTTGTTCCTTTATTTCTCTAGGTAAATTCCTAGTTACATATAATGTTATTATTTTTAATTTATTAGGGATATGGTTGAAAAATATATAACATCCTTTTTCTTCAATACATTGATAATAATTATTTATTTTTATGATTTCCATAATAATTATTTATTTTTATGATTTCTAATACTTCTTTTATGTCCTTACTAAATGTTCCAACTATATTATCTTCTTCTATATAGCCTTCTATATTAGAACTATATTTTACCTGATACCTTAGTTTATTATTATAAGTTTCAAAAATTTCTAAAATCATAAATTTTATTTATTTTCAATATCTTTTAGGTAATTTATTTTTATATACTTTCTCATAATCTCTCTGGCTCTGATACCAACGGGATGGGTGCTACTATGAGCGAACAAAAATCTAATAATCTAATAATCACAAATCTAATATTCTAAAAATTCTTTTATTTTTGTTTTAGTTAATTTATTTGTTATTAAGCGTATATAAAATCTTAATGTAAGGTTAAAAACTAATTTTTTAATATGCTTGTGGTAATCTATTTTTTATTGGTCTTCTCATAAATTTTTAAGTAATTCTTCAAAGTCTAGTAATGTCTGAGAATTTATAATATCAATATCTGTTATCAAATCTATATCTGTTCTAAATGGTATATCATATTTTGAGATATTTTTCTTCATTTTTTCTAATTTATCTATGATATCTTGTATATCTTTTATGATTATCGATCGTACAATTCCTTTAGCAAAATTTTCTAATAAGTTTTCTTTGAAACATTTTAATATTTCTTGTGATGCATATAATTGTTCTTGATATCCTATCTTATCAATTTCTTTTTCAAATTTAATTTCTTTTTTATTTTTAACAACCTTTTTTATATTATATGGTCCTCTCTTATATTTGGATTTTTTCATTTTATAATTATTCATTAATAACTTTTTCAAATTTTTAGAAAAATTACTTGTTAATTTTTTAAGGACTTAAATAGAAGATTTTTATTATGAAGTAGGTTGTTTTTAATATTTGTTTAAGGGTATTTTAAGTAGTTTCAAATATTTGGAAAAGTCAAGGGTTATTTTGGAAAATGGCCTCTCCTATTTGGGTCAATTTGATGTGTTTCCCGCAAAAACAAATAACAGTTATCTAGCAAGCTATAGGGCTAATTTTTAGATACTATAAATATTTAGAGTCGACACAATACAAAAGATATATGTTGAAAATTTTAAGGCACATAAATAAGGTAGGACTCCAAAATTTGCTGGTTCTATCATCATGAAGCTCGTCCATCCCCTTTTTGCTTAATTTTTAATCAGGGACGGACCTAAATCTTTAGTACCGTGAGGTCAAAAAATTAAAATGTAATTTTTTTTAAAAATAATATAATATTAATAAAAATAAGTCAATAAATTAATACAATTGTAGTCTACGTATATTGATACTTTGAAAACGTAATATAATTATATATTATCAATATTGTTAAATGGATTTTGCTACCTGTATAGTTTTATTTACCCCTTCGTTGACAAATGTTGAGCGACGGCGAGTAAATGAAGTTGAATGTAGAAAATAAATGAATTGAAATAAAATTCAAATTTAATCTAGGAAGCAGGTGAAATTCAAATTTACTTCGAAAATAATTTAAATTACATTTAATCTATAACAATCCTAAAACTTATTACGGGGGTGTTTGATAGCTATTTTTATGTAAAAATGCATCTTAGAATAATAACTTGAAGGGAAGTGTGCGGTTGAAAAATAAGGAAATTTTTTTTATTTACGTGTAATATTATTTTAATAAAGAATGTTTGGTTGAAAAGAAAAGAGAGAAAAAGGCATTTTGAAAAAAATGGGTACCAAACGGAGGCTACATCATACTCCATATAAAATTTGCTAATAAAACGATCTTAATTATATTGAGAAATTTGTTATACAAAAATAATAAGCGTTAATGAAATAATTAAAAGATTTTAAAAGAAAGACGAGTTACACTTCTTTTTTTAGATATGTCCGTTTACTAAAGTGTGACTATTTTTAATATCCGTTTGGACCATTCAATATGACTACGGTGTAATTGTCAAAACGAGCTTCTAAGTGATGTAGACAATTTGTAGATTCGGCTAGAGTACAATCGTTGGCAAATTTTTAAAATTGGCATAATATTGACATTCTTGAAATACTAGTTTGAAATGACATATTTTGACGAGTTGTAACTTTTACTGCAGTTGGCCATTTCACACACCATTAATGAGCGAAAAAGTAGGCCATGTATTCTTTTAAATGGTATTAGTAATGCAATATTTCGATTTCGTTTAACATCCAGTAATGAGCACATCAAAGTAAGCCGTGAAGGAAACAACTATAAATTTTAAAAAATAATAATAATAAAATATTTGTAGGGTCATTTAATCCCCACATGATCCCATGTGCGTCCGCCCACGATCTTTTGTCTCTGTTGAAAAAGTTGTTGGTGAATCACAATCATACGAAAGTTTTATTTGTAGGTATTAGTTTATATATATTTTTTTAGCATCTTGGCTTAAATCTTTTGTTTTTCTTTTTATTGCTACGGGAAACAAAACTTTTTCTAGAAAAGGAGAAAAGAATGATCAAATTGTAAGGTAAATATTCATATCTTTTGCTTATAAGCGTTTATTCTCTAGAATAATTCCTTTCTAGGCCATCTAATCATAATTAAGAAAAAAAGTACTTTAAAATTACTTAGAACTTGTTTTACTGGGAATTGTCAATTAAATGTGTTTAATTGATATAATTTTACATCTGAAAAATGTTGAAATTTTGAATCTTTTGGTGTTCGTTTGACTTTGTTTTACATGAAAATTGTCGACTAAAGGGATAAAATTTGTTACAGTTGTGGATAAAATTTGTTTCCATTGAAAAAAAAAAAACGACTTGGAAAACCCATTTTCCCACTTAACCCATAAGAATTTCAATCCCTCAAAATGGTGGAAAACTTGGTAACATGATGATGAAACTAGAGAATCAATTGCTTAGAAAAAATTGAACCCATTTTCCCACCTAACCCATAAAAATTTCAATCCCTCAAAATGGTGGAAAACTTGGTCACGTGATGATGAAACTAGAGAATCAATTGCTTCGAAAAAATTGCCAATCAAACACTTAAAAAGGTGGAAAGCGAAATTTTTTTTCCATTTTCAGCGTAAAATTCATCCAATTAAACAGGGCCCAAGAACAATGCTACGAGTTCATGGAAAATGTACAGACAGGTTTACAGAATGTCACATGATAACATTTTATTGAATTTTAGATAAAAATTAGTTAAAACAATCAAGTGCTGTCATCTCAATACTTGTAAAACTGCATGTACATTTCCTCTGTGTAAGTATCATTTCTAAAAAATTAATTAGTTATTTTGAAGATCTTCGTAAAAGAGCTTTCTCCTTCAATTAAATTCTTCTAACTAGATAAGACACTTGAAATTATTCAAAAAAGTTCAAAGGCAACTTCTCAATTCCAAAAGTAACTTTCGACTAAAAAGCTCTACCGAATAGACTCTTAATGTTGTTCAATTCAATGTGTCGACCTAAACTGTTGGTATTACCTCACAGTTCACAGCTCCTGCCAAACCCAACAGAGAAACCCAAGGTAGCATGAACAATTGAGGAAGCACTATAATTTGGGCCTAAATTATAAAGAATAAACGAAATTATTGAAAGCACTACAAAAGCTCCTATAATCTAGAGCAAAAAGATGAACAAAACTCAAAACTTATATCATTTGCTTGAATTTCTCTCTACAATAGCCAACCATATATCTGCAAATTAACAAAAAGAACAAATTACAGTTTTCTCAAACAAGAAGCTAAATAGCTAAATGTTAGATACTATAAATAATTTAATGAACATGATACAGAAGATATATAATTCTAAGCCACATTAGCAAGTTCTACTCCAAAATTTGCTGCCTTCGTCGTTATGAAGCTCAACTGTCTTCATCCCACTTACTCTTCGGTATCTCCCCAGAATCAGTAATAATTACTTTTTTTCGAGGCTTTCCACTGTAGGTTCCAGCTCCGCCCTCGATGGCATACACAGTATCCATGCCATCAATGACTTTACCAAAAACGACATGCTCACCGTCAAGCCTGTGCAATTAACTTAGTAGTGAGAAGAAGTTGGGAACAACATATTGGATTAAGTTTAGAAGTTACTTATGTCAATAGTACCATTACTGCAAAATCGAAGCTTACCAGCTGGTCTTTACCGTGGTAATAAAAAACTGTGAACCGTTAGAATCAGGGCCTGAATTCACCATAGAAACAACACCTGCAACAATTACATGTAGCAAAATGTGAAAGAGAGAGACAGAGAAGAAGTCATACAGCTTCAGCTATAAACAAGTCCATCACATGAACCAAGACAAAAGAGATTGGTTACAGAAGATCATAGCAGACCTGGATGAGAATGCTTCAGCTTGAAATTCTCATCATGAAAGGTGCCTCCATATATAGACTGATTTCCTCTCCCGTTTCTATAGACGATATCTCCACCCTGTATCATGAATCCAGGTATAATACGATGAAACGGTGTTCCCTTGTAATGGAGAACTACTCCATTAGCATCCTTTCCCATCTCCCCTAATTCCAGAAGAAGCAAATTACGTGAAGGAGATTAAAGATAAAAAAGCAGCCTGCAAGTCTCAACTGACTAATACAATTATATAGTAAAAAATAAATACCTGTGCACAAAGCCCTGAAATTCTCTGCAAATAAGACAGCCAATATAATAAGCCAAATATTGTATGCTGAATAAAAAAATTAGCTAACTCATTTTACCGAGCATGAAGTGTTTTAGAAGAGTTGAAAGACATACCCACGGTCTTTGGTACGACTTGACCATATAAACCAATGGTGATTCTTCCTGTAGCCATTCAGGGGTAAGATTAAAAACTTGCATGTGTGAATAAAAACTAGACTGCTTGAACAATATAAGTCTAGAATATTTTTTATTTATTATGCAATGTCAAGTTTGTTCTAATCTTTTAATATTTCACGTGAAAGACGCGATGAAATAGTTACAGCATGCGTAGTCAAAAGAATTTGACACTGTGGTGGACTTAGCAGCAAATAATCCACTTCAATAATAGATAAGCAAAATATTATAGGACATAGTATGGAAGTGTCACAACTCAGAAGAACGGTGCGCATCAACGAAACTGTTCTACAAACTATTCAACCCATGATGATACTAACAGTATATAATTCTAGTCCATATGAGAAGTGGGGAGGTTTTCTTGCCTGTTTCACATGAGTCCTGCTAAACTCTCTTCCATAAATAAAACTGTTCATTATAATAATGCTGATTTGACATGGATATCAAAACCCCTCACCTCATATGAGAAAAAAAGGAGAAAATTTCTGTCCGTTTTCCTCTATTCCGCTAATTTCTTTCTCCTGTCTTTTGATGCTACCGTTCTTTATTATGTTTGACGTGAGTTAAGAGATCATGAATTTGAAAGTAATGAATAAAAACATCCATATTTTACACACTCTAATATCCTACGCAGTAGTAACGGAATGTATTAGATAAAAGTACCTACTCATTTTATATAATTTGAAGTCACTCAAGCTAAAATTTAGAACTTTCCAAGGAAAAATGCAGTATACTAGTCAAACACAGAAGCTTCATCACTATACCACTGTCTTTCTGTGTACAAACAAATTCACCAGCCCCGAAAACATATCTGAGTTAACGAGGCAGGAAGCATAATATGATTTGCTTCAGTGAATGCAAGTTCAGTCTACATAAAACCATCGATGTGCAAATATGGACCAAAGAATCCTCCAATAATATTAAAAATTAAACCAACAGTAAATTTAACGTTTCAATTGACTTTTTAACAGAAAAAACCAGAACAAAACTATCTTTCATGGCCGACAAGGGTTGTGGTGATCAGATCAATTGCTATAGGCTCTCATTATCAGAATATATTGAGATAAAAAAAAAAGGGTAATTGACACAAAACGTCCCTACCTTTCAAGTCTATTGTGGAAAACGTCACAACCTTTCATTTTTTGGCATTTTTGCCCTCATTTCAACCTTTCTTTGCGCTGGACGTCCTTCCGTCAGTTTTTCCGTTAATTAAAGGGTAATTGGCACAAAAGTCCCTACCTTTCAAGTCTATTGTGGAAAACGTCCCTACCTTTCATTTTTTGGCATTTTTGCTCTCATTTCAACCTTTCTTTGCGCTGGACGTCCTTCCGTCCATATTCCGTCAGTTTTTCCGTTAAATAAATACAAAAATACCTTTTTCTTTCCATAAACAAGGGTAAAATTGTCCTCACCCCTTTTTCCCGCCATCAACTTAGTCCATAAGTAACAGTAGCAGCAACATGAATCTGAAAATATTTTAAATGATTAAGTTAAATAAAGAAAAAATATCGTGAACACATTATATTTCACAATTCCACAACTACTGTTGCTGTCATCTTGTGTCACTGGAAAAATTTAGAAAGACATATTAAATGGGTAGTCAATTTATAATGAGTCAATTTAAAATGAGCCATTCATCTTCTCCATTGAGCCAAAAAGAGCCATTCACCATTTTGACTCATTATAAATTGACTACCCATTTAATATTTCTTTCTAAATTTTTCCAGTGACACAAGATGACAGCAACAGTAGTTGTGGAATTGTGAAATATAATGTGTTCACGATATTTTTTCTTTATTTAACTTAATCATTTAAAGCATTTTCAAATTCATGTCGCGACATTTTCCACAATAGACTTGAAAGGTAGGAACGTTTTGTGCCAATTACCCTTTAATTAACGGAAAAACTGACGGAATATGGACGGAAGAACGTCCAGCACAAAGAAAGGTTGAAATGAGGGCAAAAATGCCAAAAAATGAAGGGTAGGGACGTTTTTCACAATAGACTTGAAAGGTAGGGACGTTTTGTGCCAATTACCCAAAAAAAAAAAAAAGAAGAAGAAAAATTTGAGGTATCAAGAACTAAGGTGCTTTAAGGTCACATTTTCAACAAAAACAACGAGGCACCAATTAATCATGAAATAGCAAGTGATGGAAACGGGAGCCAGTATAAGCAATGAGTCAGTGATCTAGATAAAAAATCAGTTTCCAGGAAATAAGATACCATATAACTCTGAACAAGTACTGACAACTAGAGAATATTGTGATTGAGCTCAAACATACAACAGAATGGAGATGTTATGCACATATTGGCTTTTGTTATTAAAAGCAAGAGATGCAAAGCGAAGATCAAATAACATTTAGCCTGGACTTCAAACAGATACTTCCCCATTTGGGCAAGTGGGACTCGGAATGAAATGACATCTTGGTACTTAAAATAGAGGAAAATCTTGGATGACTGAAAAACTAGACCTTAGACACCTTCTAAATAAACAAAAACTGGTACCAGTTGGGAAGCAATAATAAAATGTAGTTAGCATGCACAATAAAATGGCACTTTAGGACGGTAAATTACAATTTCAACCACTAAAATAATAAAAAGGGCCCATACCTAGACGTTGTTTGTCTATGTCAACATCCAAAAACACTCGATGGGTAATTTCATAAACCTCTTCCACATTAGCTTCATCCTGGGGAAAAAAAATAATAATAATTCTTAAGCAAAGGCGAGCACTCAAAAGTTTGAAAAGATATTATTTAATTGAAAAAATGATCTGTACGAGTGTGGTATTAGGCAATTTATTTGAAAAATTAATGTGTACAAGTTGAAAATCTTCACACCGAACTAAAAAATATCCAATTGTAGATACATAAGGAAAATGACAACTTTCAAGTATTAGATAAAGCTATTAGCTTCGTTGCCCTTTGTGCAGCCACAACACTAGGCAGTCATCTATTATGTGTCTTAATACCAAAAATTAAATTTCGACAAATCCTCTTTCTTTTCTTTTCTTTTCTTTTCTTATCATTTTTTTTCCCCATTATGATTCATATAATCCAATGACTCAGTCAAACCACTTGAGCTCTTAGCATTACAAGAAGAGAAAAAACTAGAACTTGTTTGAGATATTAATTTGAAATGTGCATCAGAAATCCATCAAGATACCCATCCGCAACTTACTCACAAATACCTCGTAAGCCCTTCAATAGTAAATTTTTCAAACCCTTAGGGCATCTTCATATCCAGAAAAAATCACAATTCAATTCTATCATCAACTAAATGAGATATAGCAACAATTTGGGCTGAAAACAAGAAAAATCTAACTCGTACAAAAAAGGACAGAGTGAAAAAAATCAGAACTAAAGCAACTAAGATCAAGAGGCACCACAGTTGATTAAACACTAAGATCTCCTGTCAAATTTCTTCTTTCTTATATTTCTATTCGAACATTCAGCTCTTTTCGACTCTTCTCTTCTTCCATTGATCATTGATGAAGCACTAATCCTCATTATATATAACTCGGCATATACAAATATTAAACAGTGTTTGGCATATTCCTGGTACTTGTTATATCTATGGAAGAGCAAACTAACACATCATAGGTGTCATAGGGAACTCTCTAAAGCATGTAAAGTAATTTAATGAAAGAGATAATAATTAATCTTTGACTCCAATTGTTATTGTTACATCACCGTTTCAGGTAGACCTAGGTCAGATGGCTACCTCAGCAAAAGCTCCACATCATCAGTTCACAAGTTGGTACGTAATAAGTCGTCGCGCCTCTGATGGTAGAGCACCTCACTTTCACCTTCGACAACAAGAGTGTTAAGTCATAAAACTTCCCCTTCAGCTCACAATGGATCAACCCGTGTAACAGAAGTCTCAATTCACATCAGTACACTACATCCTTAAGCATAAAAGGGCTAACAGGTTAGTCAACCATTGATCAGCAGGTTGATCATGGAGACTGAAGCATTGGCAGGCAGACTGCTCAACACAACCTTAACCTTATGCCAAGCCACAAGAACACAAGCAGTTTTTACGTGAAAAATGTCTCCAGTGTAAGAAATAAAAATTAAGGGAATTAGTGCAGTTAAAACCTCTACTATCAACCAAATAATGGATACACAAAGCCTTCTCTAGTCACAACTAGAGGCTACAACGCATATTTCATCAGGATAACAAAAAATCTCGACAATGCAACATGAAATAGGGAGAATCTATCAACACACCCACGGTTACTGTTCATAAGTACGAACCACTGTTCATGAGCTAGAAATTTGATCTTCACCATTCAAATTGTAGATCCATGTCTCGTGAACCTTTCCTCAAAATTTTAGCTAGTTCGAACTACAAATGACTCAGAATCGAAGTTTTGATGAAACCTGGACGAAAAAAGAAAAATACAAAAAACGGTTGACACACTATTTCCTCATATCTTCTTGTATTTAAACTCATCCTTAGGGTTAAATGGGCCTTAAGCTATAGAAAAGATCCCAAACTTGGCATTTCCTCCACATAGAAGGAAATAACTCAACAAATCTCCCCCTTTCGACTATGGAGAGGAGTTCGTCATCCTGACGATTGAACAACAACCTTTAAGCTTATTCTTTGATAGTGTTTTCATGAACATATCAAAATCATTATGACCAATATGAACTTTCTCAAGTTCATGCAACTTATCATTCAATGCATCCTTGATCCAATGGCATCGTACATCAATGATCTTCGATCTTACTCTATAGAGCACGAGCACGTTTCTTCCCAGTAACATGATTTAAAATATTATTATCTACCCACTGCTCGATATACCTGCACACTTGTCGATGCAACAAAGTCCATTCTTCATCAGAATTGTTATTCAATTTTTCAGTAGCTAAAACCGATAGGTAATAATCTTTCACATAAACAAGATCCTCTATTTTACCTTTCTATATGTCATAATTTATCATTCAAGTTAATCATTTTATGCACATTTGCTTCCATAATCCAAAACCCCAATCTACGAACTATCGTTGATATCACTTGGTCGGGAGATATACTGCAACACAGACACACAATAGAATAATTCTTCTCCACAAAAACAAATAAATAAAGCGCACTTCCTACAATTGTATACGCTGAAAATAATCTAAAGATAATCAATCACACCAAGCAACAAGAATACAAGCAATTTTTTACATGAAAAGAATTTGTTGGATTCTGTTCGTTTGGCAAAAGCCCTTTTACTATAGCACAAAGCACTCAGGAATTTTAATACTAAGGATGAATTTAAGTACAAGAAGATAGGAGGAAAAAAGTGTGCCAGCCATTTTCCCAAGAGAGAGAGAGAAGTTATGATTTTCCTCTTTTCAACTAGATTTCATCAAAGCTCTGATCACGAGTTACCGATCGAGTTGAAATTTGGATGAGATATTCATGAGACATTGAGCTACAATCTGAACAATAGAGATCAAGTTTTGAGCTCAAGAACATTAGTTCATACACGTGAACGATAACTATGGGTATATTGCTATTCTCTTTATTTCGTGTTGTATTCTCGAGATTTTCATTATCTTGATGAAAATTGTGGCGTCTATTGGCTTTCTTATAATTTAGATATGCTATTTTGGGGTCAATCTACGTTGAACCCTCTAGTTGTGACTAGAGAAGATTTGTGTACTCATAAATTGGTTGATAGTGGCGGTTTGATCGAGCCAAGTCCTGTGGTTTTCTGGCGTGGTTGATTATTTTCATCATATAGAATTGTAGGAAGTGTGCTTTACTTATTTGCTTCTAGAGAGGAATTATTATGCTTCTGTTTGTTTGAATCTCTCGTAACACATTGGACAAGTTGCAGGTCATCAAGGCGGGAAACTTAACTAAGTTTCACAATCAAAAGCCATTATTCAATTGTAAATACCCCAAAAATCCAACTCTAAGGTATGAGAACTCTTTTACCACACCAAAACTCAGTCCATTTGTCTTTTTACACAGTTCCAAATTGGAGTCGACCATCGAAGTACATATGGTTGTTGCACCGTCCCCTGTGACAACTCGTAAACATAGTCAGAGTGCAGATACATAGAGAGTGAAGATACCAGAGGTGAACAGTAACTTAACCTGCATTTGTTTAGGACTAGTTTCAACAGAAGTTTGGGTCAAAAATTATCTACAAGAACATGCTCTTGATATGTGATTTGTTTAATATGACAAATCGGATTTAAGGCTGGGGGCCTCCTTAACTTCTCTATAAATTTGTAAAAATCTTATTCTTGTATTTGAGTTTTCTTTTCTAAAATGGAAGAGACATTAATGATTGGACACTATTTTTAGGAATAATGGAATTGGATCTTTGTCTCCATTTTGATCCAATGGATTGGGATAAAGTTCGGGCAAAAATATACTGAGCATGTATTTTCTTGCAAATAGATGACGTTTTTTTTTTTTTTTGATAAGTAATCAAGTAATTTTATTAATATCTAATACATGGGGGATGTATTATCAATTTAAACAAGAAAGAAACGACATAAAGTTTGGTAACCCTTCTACATAATTTGTGGCTGCAGCCCTAAACCAAGTATACAAAGTCATATAGAACCATTCTCTAATTTGCTCTGTTGTTCTTGTTTGATTTTCGAAACAACGGTTGTTTTGTTCTCTCCATACACACCATACAATGCATCCCGGAATAAGGTTCCACGCAAGCCTAGTATCCTTGTCTCGGAATTTTTTCTTCCATACCCGCAACACATCCTCCATACACCTCGGCATCACCCAATCCATATGCTGGGAAGCTAGAATCCTGTTCCACAACCACCGAACACCTTCACAATGGAGGAACAAAAGGTCATTCGTTTCTCCGTCTCTCTTGCACATATAACACCATTCGGTAACGTAAAAATCTTTACTACAAAGATTATCCACCGTTAATGTCCGCCCCCTCACAACCGTCCATAACAAGAAAGCCACCCGTGGGGGTAGTTTACATTGCCACACCATCTTCCTAGGAAATGAACTCTCCGTCAACCCCAATATAGATCTAAAGTAAGTGGAAACTGAGAAAATACCATCCCGTACCAGCTTCCATCTGCTCCTATCTTCCTCTCCCACTTGAATATGCACCTCGTACAAGGAGGTCAAAAACAGTGCATACTCATCCAGTTCCCAATCCTGCAAACCCCTCTCGAAGGCAATATTCCAGCTATAATTACCATTATGCATGGCTAGAACATCCATCACCATAGCTGTAGGCTCCAAGGCAATGCGATGCAAAGAAGGAAAACGTGACTTTAGCGGATGATCTCCACACCAACAATCATCCCAAAATCTGATACTATTGCCATTCTCCGTCACATAAGTCAATTTCTCTCGAAAGTCATTCCATCCTCGTCGGATATACTTCCACAAACTCACCCCATAAGATTCACGACCCTCGATCGAGCACCAACCCCCCTCCATCACACCAAACTTCGCTCCTATGATTTGTCTCCAAAGACTCTCCCTCTCCACTCCAAATCGCTACAACCACTTGCCCAATAAAGCTTTATTAAATAGAACAAGGCTCCTTACTTCAAGTCCCCCCATCCTAACAGGAGAACAAACTACACCCCAATTAACCAAATGAAATTTCCTCTCTTCCCCTAGCCCTGCCCAAAGAAACTCCCTTTGAATTCTCTTTAACCTGTTTGCCACTATACCAGGGATAGGAAACAGTGACAAGAAATAAGTCGGTAGATTGGACAGAGTAGATTTAATGAGAGTAAGGCGAACTCCTTTCGAAAGGTACATGCGCTTCCACCCCGCTAAGCTCTTCTCCACCCTTTCAACAACTCTATTCCAGATATGTTTACTTTTAAACCTTGCCCCTAAAGGAAGCCCAAGATATGACATAGGCAACTGCGCAACCCTACAACCCAATATATCGGCCAACTCATCCACGTTAGCAACCTCTCCCACTGGGATAATCTCCGATTTCCTTAAATTAATCTTCAATCCTGACACCGCTTCAAAACATAGAAGTAACCGACACAAGTTCCTGAACTGCTCATTATCTGCGATGAGGATCAGTGTGTCATCTGCAAATAGCAAATGAGAAACCTGTAAGTGTCCAACCGTAAAGCCCTTTAGCAATCCTTCTTCCACAGCTCTCTCAAGCATCTTACTAATTGCCTCCATAACAATCACAAACAGCAACGGAGACAGGGGATCCCCTTGCCTCAAACCTCTACTACTTCGAAAATGACCCTCCGGGTTGCCATTGACCAAAACGGAGAATGAAACGGTGGAGACACAAAATTGAATCCACTTGCACCACTTTTTCCCAAAGCCACATCGCTTGAGCATGTATAGAAGGAACCCCCAGTTCACGTGATCATAAGCTTTCTGAATATCAAGTTTACATAACATTCCTGGCATCCCCAGACGCAATCGAGAGTCGACGCATTCATTTGCTATAAGTACAGAATCCAGAATCTGTCTTCCTTTCACAAAAGCATTCTGACTCTTAATCACCACTTTCCCCAGCACCTCCTTCAATCTATTCGCCAGGATCTTCGCGATAATCTTGTACAACCCACTAACTAAGCTAATAGGGCGAAAATCCTTAATGTCGACTGCTCCCGGTTTCTTTGGAATCAGCACAATAAATGAGGCATTAGAACTTCTCAGGAACCTGCCGTACTCAAAAAAATAAGTGATAAGATCTATAATGTCCGGTCTCACCACTCCCAACAAACCTTATAAAATGCGAACGAGAAGTCATCCGGTCCTGGTGCCTTATCTTCATTCATACTGAAAACCACATCCTTGATTTCATCTTCTGCAAATGGTCTCTCTAACCAGCTGGCATCCTCCTCTGTGATAGATGAAAAGTACAGTCCATCAACCTTTGGTCTCCAGTCAAACTCTTCTTGATAGAGATTTTGATAGAATCTCACCATCTGATTCCCAATATCTTGCGCATCCTCATAAGTAATCCCATCTACCTCCAATATGGTGATAGAGTTGTTGCGCCTGTTAGAATTAGCGACTTTATGGAAGAATTTGGTGCATTTGTCCCCCTCTTTCAACCATGTGACCCTAGATTTTTGGCGCCAGGCAATCTCCTCCATCTCCACCAGTCTCTCCAGCTCTCCCCTTAATACTCCACATCTCTCCCTATCCTCCCCATCCAATCCTAGACCCTCCTCGCGCCTATACAGTTCTTCAATTTCTAGGACACATTGATTTTTACGCCAATTAACATCACTCACCACCTCCCCATTCCACCTCTTGAGATCCTTCTTCAATGCTTTTAATTTTTGATCCAACACATAACTGGGAGACCCAACGAATTCATAAGATGTCCACCAATCCCTAACTCGATCTCTAAAGCCATCTACTTTAAGCCACATCTTCCAAATCTAAAAGGCATTCTTCCACTACACCTCATATCCCCCGATAACAAAATAGGGAAATGATCAGAATACATCCTCCCCAATCTCCTCTGAGTGACCTCTGGATATTTGGCCTCCCACTCCCCACTAATCAAGAAGCGATCTATTCGAGATAACACATGTTGATCCCGATTAGATGACCATATAAAATCTCCTCCAATCAAAGGCATGTCAATCAACATATGTTCTCTTATAAAATCTGAGAAATCCTCCATTGCCCCTGTTAGTCTCCCGCCGCTAGACCTCTCTGTAGGAAACCGAACCACATTAAAATCACCCCCAATGCACGTTGGTATGTTCCACCAAGCCATCATCCCGGCCAACTCATCCCACAATCCACTTCTACTCTCATCAACATTAGGACCGTAAACTCCTGTAAACATCCAACGGAATCCATACCCTGTATTTCTGAACGAAAGCGATAAAGAGAATAGTCCTTCATTGACCTCCTCCATTTCAAGAACTCTAGTGTCCCACATGACTAACACACCTCCAGAAGCCCCTGATGACCCCATATATTGATACCCGACATGTTGTCCCCCCCCCCATATAAACTCCTAATGACCGCCCTCGAGTTGAACTCTAGCTTCTTTTCTTGTAAGCAAACAAGGTCTGCCCTCCATCCCCTTAGCAAATTTCGTATTCCTATCCTTTTCCCCGCTTCATTGAGCCCCCTCACGTTCCAGCTGATTATTTTTGGGATCATCTAGACGCTCTGTCATCCCTCCCAAGCAATCCTTTCTTTGACTCAACACCCTTGGCATCATAATTTACTGATCACTCGAGTCGCTTAAGTTCACGATCTCCCTTTCTTCTTAATTTAGTCCCTTGTATATTCATCCCCTGTCCCCTACTGCCTTCTAATTCCTCAAATAATTGCAGAAGTCTACTTTCATATCCATCACATGACACACCAACCATCTTACTGAAATCCTGAATTTTTTGAAGGACCCAATTTGAAGGTGGGGATTCATCATTGTTCACATTTGCTTTCATTGTTTCCTCTGCTAGGCGAAACTCCAAGGGATCACATGAATATCCCTCTACTTCCTCCACTAGCTCAATATCCGTATCTGTGCCTCCTTGCTTAGCACCATCCACCCACAACACCACAGTTTTGTCGGTCTCTATTTCCTTTTCTTTTAGGGGCTTAAAATGTCTTCTGTTATATGTGTTCCCTACCATGGCTCTTGAACCTGTAGCCTTGTTCTCTTTCAGTACTGTAGAGACAAATCCCTCTGCTAAAACATGTCCCATCTCTTGCTCAACTGGTAATGGTCCATTAGCCGGCGATGTCATGTCCATCATTCCAAGTGTCTCCGACTCCAAATTCACCATCTTCAACTTCCCTCCCTTAGACCAAGGTCTCGCCTCCTCATCTACTTCAGATCCCGAGTTGTTATCCTCTATATCTTTAGTAAGGCCTGCTTTTGCTGATGGCTTCTTAGTTGTCAAAAGTTCTTCATCCACGGCCATCCCACACTTGTGACAAAGCATCTTGGGACCCGCTGCAAATCCACATCCTACGAGCCGAAGTAGTTCATCCAACTCCCCTTTCAATGACTGGACACAAGCCTCTATTTCGACGGTATTCAATAAACCATCGATTGAAACTTCTGTGTATGCTGCCTTGGACTTAGGCCTCATACAATTACCTTCATCTTCACTCACAGTAGCAACCTTCTCCTGTCTCGTTAAGAACCCTTCGATCACTGATCTGCGGGACCTGTGTGGTTGCCGTTACTTCGGCATAAGTCATCCCTTGTCGATTTCGAGCATTCACCGTTCGACGTTTAGCCTTATTTCCAGCAACAAATGAATCAACTACCGCCTGAAACACCCGCGAGATCGATGCCCATCCTTCTCCATTCGTGCCTTCCGGCACCATCACAACTCCCTTCCGACGCCTATCCCCATACTGTGCTATCGTCAAGTACCTTCCACGACTGTTAGCACAACGTTGTGCCAAGAAAGCTCTTGATGACTCATTGAACTTCGAGACGAAATCCTCCAACCTACTAGTCACCCTCAACTTGTCTACCATCTTCACCATCCAAAGTGCGCCGAATCTTCCCATCCATATTGCATTAGATAACTTCGAGCCCCACTCAATCATCCTAACATCACCGTGATTGTTAACAGAAATTGCAAACTCCTTCGCCTCCACTCGAAAACGATAATTAAATACCATGCCGTCTCCATCCATTAACTTTCTTCCCCGATTGTGTATAAATGGCACATCAGACGATGGAATAGGCATCGTGGGTGGTCTGGGAGCATTCTGCAGAATTTCTACATTTTTCGGTTGTGGCGCGTGGGGGATACGCGTCGACAGACGCGCCATTCCGGCGGTGCGTGCATCTCGCCGCCATGCATCTCTGACTGGAATCGCCTGCACAACCCGCCGGTCAGGCGCGTTTGCCTGGGAAAGGGCTGGAACCTGCCGAATCTGAGATAGGGCAGTGATACTTCCACCAGTTTCACCGTCTCCCATGGCCCCCGTACCATCCCAGGTAGTCTCGTCGCCGGTCCGATTGACTGTTAGAGCGGCGGTGCTAGGGTTACCACCTAGGGCCGCTGCCTGAGTGTGCGGCTTTAATATTGGCGTGAGGCCGGTCTCCGGGGGTTTGCCGGGCGATGCGATTCCGTCGCCGACGTCGTCCAGGGTGACTGGGTGGTGGTTTGGTGGGTATGGGGTTGGGGGTGGGATTTGGATATTAGGGGAGGTTCCATTGACACAGGACGTTACACTTTTAAGCTAAGAAAGAGATTTTGTAGCTTGAAAAGTTCCAATGAGCATTAGGGGTTTATTATATCGGAGATACGAATCAGTCAATGTTTATTATACCTATTAGTAGCGTCAAGAACACACCTAAAGGTGGGAAATCAACACAATGAAATATAGAGCAGCACCAGAAACCTATCCAGTAAAACGAAAGGCCTAAAACCTTTTCAAGTTTTACCCGGAAATTATTGAACAGGAACAGATTCCTCTTTACTTTTTCAATTCACTAACTGCAATACATAATTTAAGAAATATTTTCCACGTACCCTACTAAATCGTCCTTTGTCAACTACATTTATATATCTTAATTCCAAACTTCAAAATTAAAATTTATTCTTTATAATAATAAAATTGAGGTCTTTATTACAGTAACAAGAGAAGAAAAAAATTTTGCTCGTGACATTTTACTTAATTTTCCAATTCACTACTTATTTGCAAATTGCATCAGGAACCCGTGAATGCTAAAGTCATCCAAAGCCTAAGGGCACCTTCAGATCCACACAAAAAAAAAAAATAAAAATAAAAAATTCCCAATTCAATTTGTATCATCAACTAAACGAGACATAGCAAATAAATGGGCTAAAATAAAGAAAAACTAACCCGTTGAAAGTAGGATGAAGCCAGAAAAATCAGAACTAAAGCGACCAAGAAGATCAAGAGGCAACGCGGTTGAATCAATACTGAGATCTCTCGACGCATTTCTTGTTCTTTATTTTATTTCTCCCCAAACAATTCCATTAATCATTCATGAACCACGAATTCTCTCTCTCTCTCTCTCTATGTATATATACACACAATCTTCAACAAATATTTTTCGCAAAATCTTGGTACTTCATATATCTATGGAAGAGAAAACAAACACTGTGGAGTGTCAGAGCATTTAACGTAAATTAATGAAAATGGTAATAATTATTGTCCTTAATAGTCAGTTAACGTAATCTTTACGTATTTACAGGGAAATTAAGGAGGTTGAAAAGGCAAGTTCAATGGAGGCAGAGAATAATTATGGATTAAACCAGATGCACAGCACTTGCTGTACACCATTAACTGGGGGGTTGAAGTCTTGTTCTCGTGCTTTCCAGTCCCCAAGTCTGAAAAGGAAGAAGATCCTAATGGGCAGGACAATATTCTTGGGCTTAATATTTAACTCGAATCGGGCTTAATACTTGGGCTACTTTCAAAATCTCAATTCTGAAATTATGATTTTTTGAAAAATGTGTGATTAAAAAGTAAAAAAATAATTTAAATTTACGTGTAAAATATTTTATTGTGAAAATGTGGTTGAAATCGAGTTTGAGAGAAAGAGTTTTATTTAATGATTGTCAAATAAGGGCTCAAGAAGTATACTTTCTTTTTCTTTTCTTTTTTTTAAAGAAAAAAACATACATACGCATATAGAGTATTTTTAAGAGACTCTTTAAAATTGAAATGTTCTCTATTTGAAAGAGTCAACTTTTAAAATTATGTTTCAAGAAATTATCGAAATTAACATTTTAAATTAGAGAGTGAATTTGACTCTCCAAATTTGAAGGACAAAATTCGTTCGCTATAATTAATTGCATTTAAAACATTCTAATTTTCAATGTTCCATTTATTTTCAAAGTCGTTAAATCATTACGCATTGTCTGCTTTAAGAAAGTTTGAACCCATCTGAAGCCACATGAATTTCTAGTTCCTAGAATTTAAACCCAATACCTCTGCCTTATGAGATCCCTCGGGGCATTATGTAGTACAATTTATTATAAATTATTATATTAATTAACAAATTATGCTTTCACACTATGACAAATAGCACGACTCTTTTAATGCATATCATCTTCACCTTCTGATAACATAACTATACTCCTATTTACTATTTAGGGTAACAATGATTTTAAATAAGACAAGAAACGAAAACAAGTGGTAATCACTCATAATACATAATTTATTTATAGAAGCTCAAATTTTGTTACTAATCTAAATTTTTAAAAAATAAAAATCCTCTTGTTTCTTTTGGCCATTAAACCCACATTACAGAAGTATAACCGTTTTAAGTAATAAAGAGATTTTGACATTTTTAATTCAATTTATCGCTTGAAATGGAAAAATAGGTGGAGTCGGAGTCCTAATCTCTTTTCTTATTGCTTGTATTGCTTTTAGATGTAAGAAAACAAAAGGCGAGGCTTTGATTGGGAGTGTAACCCCGTGAGATTCATCGACTACTAGGATCTAGTGATGAATTTGAATCTATAGAAATTTATGAAGGGTGTAGAGCAAAGTTCGACAACAACTACTTTCTTGAAATTGAACTTAACGGTCATCACTAGTTCTTTACATAGGTTCAGGGCTGATTATTGTTCTTTGTTTACTTTCTTGTTTGTATTGAATGATTTATCTTTATAGAATTATAGCTTGATGTCAAAAACAAAATAATAACGTTTCTTTATAGAATTATAGCTTGATTTCAAAAACAAAATAATAAAAGTAAAAAACTTCTAGCACGTTTACAAATAGTACTAAACAAAGTTAAGTTAAAATCTTGATAAAAAAACAGTTAAGTTAAAATCTTTCAATTATTTCGTGGTGCACATACCAAACATCTAGATGGGCTTAAAAAGGGTATAGTTATGGATAAGAGTAGTTTATGTACTACTTGACCGTGCTCATTTTATTGAAACACCTTGAACACACCTCCAAATGTAAATCAACTGTAATATTTAAAGAAAAAAATTTCAACGTTAAATTTTCATAATCAGATAATGGTAGATAAATGAATATATGCTTAAAGCTTCCTTTTCTTGGAATAGGTAGACTATATGACAATTTTCTTATATCACAAGAATAACAATGATTAATATGTCAATACATTGCAATAATTTGACAACAATGATAAAACCTGTCTTATTCTCCATAGAATTGAAGTCATCTGAAAATATTGTGCTCAAATAATAACTCCAATGTACCTCATAAATACTCAATTAGAATACTAACAAGAAGAAATAGATATTGATATAAACCAAATTCTGCCTCACTTGCAAGGAGTAAATCCGCAGGTAGCCCCGCCGGCACGGGTTCCGGTTCCCGTGCCAGAATTTGCTCTCAAGAAACTAAGGGCTGTGTGAAGAACTTGCCTAGTAGACCCCATTAATGCCGAATTCATATGCTGGATTACAGCTAAAGGGTGGTAAGGGAACTGTGTACTACTGTAGGAATTAAGAAGAGCAGTTGTCCCTTCCCTTAATAGAGTCCTATATGGATCACCTCTCCCATTCATGCTTTCCCACAGGGTCATGTCTGTTCCATATCTCCGGCTGGCGACCAGCCCAAAAATAACAGCCACTTTCGTGTCTGGAGAAACCACCTTCCAGTAGCATTTGTATTCTGGCATCATCCACTTCCTGAAGAATTAGTGTCAATAAGTGTTATGAATTAAGCCACAATATCTACTTACGGAAGTAATATAATCACATGAAATCGAAAACAAGAAATCAAACACATATATAGAGTGTTCGTTCTCAATTTGAGAGTTACGTCCACTCAGTGCTACAAGTTTTCACTTGTAATAGAGACGACATCTCAAATACGAAAATAACCCTCTATATTGTCCTTTATATAACAATAATATTACGATAACTTTTACATGTAGAAATTTACCCTGCGTATCAGTAAAAAGGAATATTAGGTTGATCGGAAGTCGACAACAATCACATTCTTTAACGAGGTCTAGAAAAACATTTAGACCATCAACTTACAGGTGAGAACAAGCAGAAGCTTCCAAGTATGGCGCCGGAGGCATTGGAGGCAACCGGGGTAACGGTGGCAAAGGTGGAAGCCAAGGCAAAGGTGGAAGAAGCCTTGCCGGTGGTGCTGGGGCAACCACTGGGCTAGTCGACCTTGGGCAGAAGGGCATAGGCTGTGCCGGCTGAGAAAGCAAAGGATCTACTGTGTACAATTCCATATCAAACATCCGAAACATTAATCTTGGGTACATGGCTGGACCAGCTGCTGCTCCACAGCCTGAAGATCCTTGTGCATTGCCTGAAACTTGGGCATAACAGCCACTCAAATCTGGGGTGCCCTCAAGCTTTATAGAGTAACTGCCAAGCCAATTTGTTGTTTCTTCTCTCCACATTGTGAATTGGTCATCACTTCCTGGACATGCAATTCCCACTTTTATTCCTGCATATATATAGTTTTCAGTCATTAGTTTCTTCCTCACGACAATCATAACAACAACAACGACGACAACAAACTAAACCTTTTCCTAAATAAATATGGAGCGGGCTATATGAATCTTTGTTCGTCACCCCGTTCTACTAAAAGTGGGATCTACTCGCAGAACCAACTAGCATGCTTGGCTAAGCTTATATAAATAACCCAAAGTTATTTTTGACTAACTTTGTGTTTTTAAAACATGTTTGGATAAAGTCCTTTTTTCTTATTTCTAAGTAACAAGGTTACTTATTTGAAACATAACTTCTACATTTCTGTCTTAAGTAAGTAACGTTCTTATTTCAATGCCGATCATAAAATTACTTATTTTGATAGTCATTTACCATACCCATTTAATTGTTAGTTTATTTTTTCAAATACGATTAAAAATTGAGAACGTAAAAATAAACGAAACTAAAAAGACTTGGAGTGGGTTTGGAGAATCTGAGGGCAAAGACTAAGTTCCCCATCCGCACAGTGTTTGCTTACTTCCCAAATTTGGTAAATATTAGAAACTTAAAAGTCCCTTTCTCGGTAAATTTGGGATCAGCTACGTTCCTTTTTCATTCATTCTGCTCACTGGTAGCTCTATACTGAAAGATCTAAAACTACAAGCAACTTTGCCAATGCTAATCTACTCGTCATTCTCTCGACTTATTCTATCAAGATTGTGTCGTTCTTAGATATTCAACTAAGAGTTCCGAAAAGAACGTGAAAATGCAATGGGATTATAGATATTACCATTTAAGGGATAATCGAAAAGGGAGACTTGCCCATCTTTGCATTGGTCACAGAAAACATTGCCAGTAATCAATCCATATCCATGAACTCCATGAATGGCTGCTGCAGCAATCAGAAAAGCTGTAAAGAAAATCTCTTGGGACCACTCCATGAATTCTGAGAAGCTAAGAAATAGAAAAGTCTGGGAAAAGAATGAATTTTTGGGCTGTAAGAATGTGAGTAAAACAATAATTATAAGTAGAAAAAGTTCTTACGAGCAGTTCTGCAGTGCAGCTCTCAACTGCCTCAATTAATATGGAATGGAAAAAAGTGATTTTGAATTAAATAGAATACGGAAAATGCATTTAAGACCGATTCAATTTTCTGGATCCAGCTTCCATGGTTAAGCTTAAAGTGCAGTTAATGCAATTTTCAATTCTTCTCATCAACTTGTTTAGCTTGTAATCTTGTTGAATACCAAAAACTAATGGCACCTTTATCGTAAAAATGGTTGTCTGGTTAATTATTCGCTTCAGGTTCGTCATTTCAAATCAGTCAGTGCTACAAGTTTTCACTTGTAATAGAGACGACATCTCAAATACGAAAATAACCCTCTATATTGTCCTTTCTATAACAATAATATTACGATAACTTTTACATGTAGAAATTTACCCTGCATATCAGTAAAAAGGAATATTAGGTTGATCGGAAGTCGACAACAATCACATTCTTTAACGAGGTCTAGAAAAACATTTAGACCATCAACTTACAGGTGAGAACAAGCAGAAGCATCCAAGTATGGCGCCGGAGGCATTGGAGGCCACCGGGGTAACGGTGGCAAAGGTGGAAGCCAAGGCAAAGGTGGAAGAAGCCTTGCCGGTGGTGCTGGGGCAACCACAGGGCTAGTCGACCTCGGGCAGAAGGGCATAGGCTGTGCCGGCTGAGAAAGCAAAGGATCTACTGTGTACATTTCCATATCAAACATCCGAAACATTAATCTTGGGTACATGGCTGGACCAGCTGCTGCTCCACAGCCTGAAGATCCTTGTGCATTCCCTGAAACTTGGGCATAACAGCCACTCAAATCTGGGGTGCCGTCAAGCTTTATAGAGTAACTGCCAAGCCAATTTGTTGTTTCTTCTCTCCACATTGTGAATTGCTCATCACTTCCTGGACATGCAATTCCCACTTTTATTCCTGCATATATATAGTTTTCAGTCATTAGTTTCTTCCTCACGACCATCATAACAACAACGACGACAACAACAAACTAAACCTTTTCCTAAATAAATATGGAGCGGGCTATATGAATCTTTGTTCGTCACCCCTGTAAGTATTATGTCCTAGGTCCAATCAACTTTGGACATAAATACTTTTATATATAATTAATGCAATTAAATGGCAGATCTAGTCCTTTTCTCGATAAATTTGGGATCAGCTACGTTCCTTTTTCATTCATTCTGCTCACTGGTAGCTCTATACTGAAAGATCTAAAACTACAAACAACTTTGCCAATGCTAATCTACTCGTCATTCTCTCGACTTATTCTATCGAGATTGTGTCGTTCTTAGATATTCGACTAAGAGTTCCGAAAAGAACATGAAAATGCAATGGGATTATAGATATTACCATTTAAGGGATAATCGAAAAGGGAGACTTGCCCATCTTTGCATTGGTCACAGAAAACATTGCCAGTAATCAATCCATATCCATGAACTCCATGAATGGCTGCTGCAGCAATCAGAAAAGCTGTAAAGAACATCTCTTGGGACCACTCCATGAATTCTGAGAAGCTAAGAAATAGAAAAGTCTGGGAAAAGAATGAATATTTGGGCTGTAAGAATGTGAGTAAAACAATAATTATAAGTAGAAAAAGTTCTTACGAGCAGTTCTGCAGTGCAGCTCTCAACTGCCTCAATTAATATGGAATGGAAAAAAGTGATTTTGAATTAAATAGAATACGGAAAATGCATTTAAGACCGATTCAATTTTCTGGATCCAGCTTCCATGGTTAAGCTTAAAGTGCAGTTAATGCAATTTTCAATTCTTCTCATCAACTTGTTTAGCTTGTAATCTTGTTGAATACCAAAAACTAATGGCACCTTTATCGTAAAAATGGTTGTCTGGTTAATTATTCGCTTCAGGTTCGTCATTTCAAATCATCAGCACCGCTTCTGAATACTGTATGTGCGACTTTGATCTCACGAGACTCATATGTTATGAACGAAGAAAAAAGATCAAAAATCAATTCATCTTCATTCTTAATACTTCATAATGCCATTGCTATCGAACAAGGGAAAGAAGATGAGCTTATCGTATTCGTAGGCCTCGGGTAGGTAGGCTCAATTTTCAAGTTACCATACTTCAATGAAGAAGAATGCATTATTAGTACAACAACAATGTTATCTAGCACCGTTTGTACCACAATATCAGTTTAAATGGCGCCATGTGATAGGTTTAACGAAAAATATAATTGAGTGACTCATTTAATTGTGCATCTAATTTAAGGTCATATTAGCATTATCTAGACTGATTATGATGCTAAATAACATTATTCGAATTGCACCCTAACCCATGCGAAAGTCACAAATATAAGTGGTTCGACCACCTTGATAGTCGACTCAAACCAAATTCATCACTCTAATATTACACGTCCACCTCAATTTTCATTGAAATTATCGACGGCGTCAGATTTCTCGCCAGCGTAAATTAAGGTCTAAATAAAATGAGGACTTCAGCAAAGATTGCCAAACTTAAAAAGTGATGGAAACACAGATTGATTCTGTTCTTCTTTTCTTTTTTTTCTTTTTTTTCCTAATTATTTTTTGAACCACATGAAATGTGTATAGTTCCTGCCATGTGAATTCCCATCAAGACACTACAAATGCATTCAGGATTCCCAGTGATCACATCAAATACAATTTTGAAAATGCTACTATCACAACTGCATTAATGCATATACTAGCAACAGATAAAGAGTTTTTATTTGTTAATTGTTGAATTTAAATAATATCACATGCTTCATCTAAGAACAGAGTTTGACCAACAATGAAATTAACACCAATCTAATTATAATACTCCCAATACAACAAGCCTTTAACCCCTTAAAAATATTATATATGAGCAAATTTTGTACCAAAAATTGCCTCTTTCTTGCACGACACAGTAACACAAAAGATCAATAGAATATTACTCCAGCATATCAAAATTTCAGCCATGTTTACTACTTTTCCCTTCCAAACAAATTTCCCTTCACATATGGGCATCTTTATCTTCACCATCTTCTGCAGGTCCATTTTCAGTTTTTTCAGCACTAAAACAAAAATTAATTAAGTTTAATGAGAAACTAATCAAACGATGAGAATAAAATATATATCAATATATTATATTCTATGGTTAAGCTAAAAGTGCAGTTAATGCAATTTTCAATTCTTCTCATCAACTTGTTTAGCTTGTAATCTTATTGAATACCAAAAACTAATGGCACCTTTATCGTAAAAATGGTTGTCTGGTTAATTATTCGCTTCAGGTTCGTCATTTCAAATCAGCTTCTAAAGACATAAACTTAATTAACATGCTCACACGACAAACTTTCAAAGGATAAGGATTGAGAACAGAACAACAAAATGGGATAAAATCATGTAAGGGGACCTAAGGGAGGACAGTAGTATTGGGGGTGGGTGCTCAAACATCATTTCCTATATTATATAATATCCATGCAGTTTATATATCTTTTGAATAATTCATCTTCATTCTTAATACTTCATAATGCCATTGCTATCGAACAAGGGAAAGAAGATGAGCTTATCGTATTCGTAGGCCTCGGGTAGGTAGGCTCAATTTTCAAGTTACCATACTTCAATGAAGAAGAATGCATTATTAGTACAACAACAATGTTATCTAGCACCGTTTGTACCACAATATCAGTTTAAATGGCGCCATGTGATAGGTTTAACGAAAAATATAATTGAGTGACTCATTTAATTGTGCATCTAATTTAAGGTCATATTAGCATTATCTAGACTGATTATGATGCTAAATAACATTATTCGAATTGCGCCCTAACCCATGCGAAAGTCACAAATATAAGTGGTTCGACCAACTTGATAGTCGACTCAAATCAAATTCATCACTCTAATATTACATGTGCACCTCAATTTTCATTGAAATTATCGACGGCGTCAGATTGCTCGCTAGCGTACATTAAGGTCTAAGGCCCTGTTTGAGCTTCATTATTTTCTCATTAAAATGAAAAGTATGACCGTTATCCATCACATCAAACCACCATATTTGACTTCTTATCTCTTGTGTGGGGTCCATAATAACTATATTTTTCATTCTCATTTTTACGATAATGTGGTTCAAACGGGGGCTAAATAAAATGAGGACTTCAGCAAAGATTGCCAAACTTAAAAAGTGATGGAAACACAGATTGATTCTGTTCTTCTTTTTTTTCTTTTCTTTTTTTCTCTTTTTTTTCTCCAATTATTTTTTGAACCACATGATATGTGTATAGTTCCTGCCATGTGAATTCCCATCAAGACACTACAAATGCATTCAGGATTCCGGGTGATCACATCAAATACAGTTTTGAAAATGCTACTATCACAACTGCATTAATGCATATACTTGCAACAGATAAGGAGTTTCTATATGTTAATTGTTAAAGTTAAATTATATCACATGCTTCATCTAAGAACAGAGTTTGACCAACAATGAAATTAACACCAATCTAATTATAATACTCCCAATACAACAAACCTTTAACCCCTTAAAAATATTATATATGTGCAAATTTTGTACCAAAATGCCTCTTTCTTGTACGACACAGTAACACAAAAGATCAATAGAAGATCACTCCAGCATATCAAAATTTTCAGCCATGTTTACCACTTTTCCCTTCCAAACAAATTTCCCTTCACATTTGGGCATCTTTATCTTCACCGTCTTCAGCAGGTCCATTTTCAGTTTTTTCAGCACTAAAACAAAAATTAATTAAGTTTAATGAGAAACTAATCAAACGATGAGAATAAAATATATATCAATATATTATAACACACAACAGGTGAGGTACTATTCTACCGAGTTTCCTAATCATCAATTTCACCAAAGCACAGACAAACCCTTCCATTTTTTATTTTTTATTTTTTGCTTCTAAAGACATAAACTTAATTAACATGCTCACACGACAAACTTTCAAAGGATAAGGATTGAGAACAGAACAACAAAATGGGATAAAATCATGTAAGGGGACCTAAGGGAGGTGATAAATTTAATGATGCTCATTTCTAGAAGAATCTAGAATTACTTGCCTAGAATATCCTAGAATTCCTTGGTAAGCAAGTATAATAAAAAATTAGAATTGTCTAGATTCCACTAGAGTAACTTGGACACCAAAAAACCTTGTATAGGTTGTGGACACTATTAGAATTCTCTAGAAGATATGATAAGAGTCTATAAATAGGGCATGATCCCTCATTTGTTAGTAAGAAAAAAGAAGCTAGACAAAGCTCAAGCTATTGTAAGCTATTATCATTCTAATAAAATTCCTTTCTCCTACCCACTTTGTCCACCAAATTACTTTCTACCAAAATCTTCCAAACTATTAACTTTCAATAAAAAGCCAACAATTTTTTACCTCCAAAATTATTCCATACAAAACATCCTCAATCATCCTATCTCATCACTACAACAACACAAAAACTATCAGGAGGACAGTAGTATTGGGGGTGGGTGCTCAAACATCATTTCCTATATTATATAATATCCATGCAGTTTATATATCTTTTGAATTTCTTCTTTTCGTTCAAATTAATACGTTCAGCATCCATCCAAATATTTAATTCAACAGTGCCAATAAGCAGAAATGTAGGATGAGAAGTGGGGCGAATATTGTTTTGGGGTCAAGTGACCCTAGTATGGTTTATTAAGAATAAAACTAGTTATTGCATGTACATCTATATATAATCATTTCTACATACGTGTGATTGCATAATTCTGTTGCATGGTTATATGCTACATTTCATTATGTTTGTTATATGCTTTTGCATGAATTTGAGAGCAATTTGTAACGAGTTTGCCAGCATAGTGGGGGTTGGGATACATTAGCAGTAAGTGTGATGTGTATCTTTTGGTAATGTGGAGTGTAGATGCCTAAGGATATATTGGTGGTTTGCATCGTGAATGTAGAGTGTGACGTTTAGATTACGAGTAGGGAGGAGATTAAATATTAGAATCTTTCATTTGTGAAGATCCCGATCAAATGAAATATGAAAGAGACACTTCCATCACTTCTATTAGGTGGAGACCTATTATCCATGGCAAAAGTGAAGTGGCGATAGAGGATAATTCCGTGGACTTAGGATCTATTGTGATTTACCAGTTAGACACGAGTTAGTGAATAGCCTAGTGAGTATGGTGGGCGATAATAGGATATATGATTTCTCAAGATATGAGCGATACGGAATGGGATAGGATAAATGTGATAAGATCTTTTCGTGGGTCATTTATATATTTGTTGTTTATGTGTTGGCCATTTAATTGATTAACTTGGTATTAGTCTATTGTTCAGTGTGAATGTGTTTGAAAAGATTTGTGTTATTTTGTGTTATATCTTCATCACATGTGGCATATGCTCTTGATTTATTACTATGATTATCCGTTTCTATTTGGATTTTTTTTTTTTTTATCTTAGCTCTAATGAGTATATAAAGCAAGTATTGAATGTGTTTCAGGTCCAAAAGACGAGGTAATGTCTATGATCCCAATTTTATTGGTTACCTTGATTATACAAGTATTAAATTTTGTGTTTAATTGCTTGTAGGTTGATTGTGTATCAATGTAGAGGTTTGCTGGGTTTTGATACCCAATAAATCCTGGACGATTTTTATTTTTTTTCATTTACTGTTCATATTTGCTAATTGTTTATGAGATGCTGAATGTTATCCTTTTTTACTAAATGTGATCTACTTTGTATGATTGTTGTTTCTGTTGGGTGTGTTAATTATTATTATTATTATTGAAGATACTGTTGATTTTTTTAGACCTGTTAGTCTTGTTTTACTTTCCCAAAATGTTCCTTTGGTTCTTTATATCATTTTTTATGATTAATAAACAATATCGCTGTGACGATCATTGACGATCGACGATCAACCATTGCCCTAACTCACCAGCAATCTCGGATTCGTCCCTGTGTATTGTCCTAGCCATTTTTATGTGTGTGATTTGTGAGAAAAAAAGAGGAAATAGACGTAGCTAGAAATGGAGGAAGAAAAACCAGTTTGCTTCGTGATCCAAAATTGGTGGTTGTCTTTGTGTCTTTGGTCTTCTCTTCGTGTCTTCTTTCATTGCTTTTTTCTTACCTTTGTGGCTACAAATCAACACCAATATTTTGTCCTTTGTAGGTGATATTGAGAAACTACCATAGGTGAATATATTAGTTATGACTCGAAGTCGTTTGAATTGATTGTTTGGTAGTGAAAAGTAACGTGAAACTAAACTTAAAAATCAGGATTTCGAAAATTTTTGTAGCAAGCTTCCGCAACAATGCCAAATCTACAGGAATTCAATTTTCAAGGATTATCTTGTTGGAAGACTTACTCATAGATCTAAATCATATTTGTTTACCTTCTTTTTATTGAGCTAAGATGAGTGCTACATGTTGGATTTACGGGATAATTTTTATATGTGTAGATTGGAAGAGTCTTTAGTTGGTGTGACGATTCCTCATGACTCTTCAAATACCAATGATGCATATCCAAGAGTCATGATGTTTGGGTGTGATGACTAGTCGTGAATTTTCAAATGTAAATAATGCATATCAAAGAGTCTATTTGAGATTAAGAGCTTGTTTGGTAGAAATTTTGATAACTGATTTTTTTACCGTTAGACATAAAGTAAGTCTTACATGTAAGAGAATAATTCAAAAATGACGATTGAAATAGTGAAATAACAGTCAAAAAATTGATTTAAATTGACTTTTAATCAGTAACAAACAAGCACTAAGTGTACATAATGAAATTCAAAATCTTTAATGTAGTGCAATCCAAATCATTAAATATGAAAAGTTTGACCACTGAACCACATACATTAATTTATATCAAAAATTATATCATTCTGAAAAGATACTTGAAAATCTATAAATAGGGGCTACCAATTCCATATTTCCTATCCCTAATTCAAGAAAAATTGATTTCTAAATTCTCTGTACTTTTCAAAATATTCTGTTATTTCTATTTTCTGAAATTAAATTTCCTCCGACTTATTTTCAGAAATAAAATTCTATCCCAACTATTTTAGTTCATGTCTATTCCATTTGAAAAGAATATTATCAACACCTTGGTTCTCCCGATAAAATTAATATTCTGCCATATAAATTTTGGAAAAAACGTTATATTTGGGAGATAGACATCCATTTGATCTTGTTAATACCGTGAAAATGTGAAATCCGTCTTATGGAGATTTTCAATCGCATATCTCATTTCGATTCATCTCCTATTTTCTTTGTTTCAGTGAATCGTGACTTGATCGTATTTTCATGCACGTATCTTTGTTCTGATGAGTTTTACATGTAAAATGTTAGTTGTCGAATATAAATTATGCACCGATTTTCCAACACTACGCACATTGCTGTGAATCCTATCACGCAGGCACACACTAAACATATATAGATTAATTACCACTTCGTGAGGGATCAAGTTGTGGATAAATCTTTGCAGGTTCAGTTTACCCATTCAGAGGAACATCTTGGAATCATGAACAAACCCCTCTCAACTCACAGATTTCATAGTCTCTCCATAGCAAGCTCACGATTGTTCACACCCCCATGAGCTTGAGGGGTGACGTTAGATTGAAGAGTAGTTAACTACTAGGTAATCCTTTAAGAGTTACTTTATTGTATAGACCTAGTTTTACTTTAGTGTACAGACTGTGGGTCAATAAAATAGCTTAACCCCATGTAGACCAGCATTCCACTCTTTGGTAATTGTATTATGTATGCAACAAATAATTATGTACCTTGTGTATGTCATATAAGATGAATGTCGTGGAGAGCGATTGCAAATAACATTACACAATATTGAATTGTCAAAAATTATAGGCTTGACCGCTGACATGACAATCAATGGACAAGATAACTCCTACCCACCATGAGTAGGAGATCATTTCTGACTTCACAAAAGATCTATTACTCTTTCAACGATGATCAGAAAAGGAAAACAAGGAAAAAACAAAAATAAGAAGCGGAAAGTATCAAGCATGAAAACATCAAACATGCAGCTTACAAATACAAAACTGATATCTTCATATTGACGACATAAATATCTTCAAAAACGGGTGATAGTATTACTAAACTTTATCTGCACTGATCGCTCTCAGAACTACAATAAAAAAACAAAACCAATAGTAATACAACTATTAACTCAATTACTCGAAGAAATGAGGATAAGGACAAATATATACAATCACCAGTCAACATAAGCAGAAGGAAACCCTACTTGTGTATGTTTCAACACATAGCTTGAGATTGCCATGGAAGATCCATTAATCCAACTAGAATATGCATCTGCAATTTAAAGAGCCCTCGTCCCTGAACATCTAAGGAAAGGTGCACAGAGGAAGAGGCAGCCTATCCAGTCCTGAAAATGCACAATCTTTTTGAGAAACTCGTATCCCCAAAATCATAAATCATTGTGTGCCATATTAGCCCAAGTGCTAGTAAACTTGTAAACTTGTCTTGCTCGAGTCTTTTTAGAAAATTCACTACTGAAAGAAATCGGGAGAGTGCAATGTGATATAATGTGCATCTTCCAAGCCTTTTGCCGGATCTCCATCATACCATATTATGGTTCCTGCAAAAATAAGTCAATGAATGGTGTTAGCTATATAGATAACACCATAGCTACGATTAAAGGTAGCTGGGCAAGATAATGCTCCTCCGGCCACCCAATTCTGTTTTTAAACTTGGGAATTTCACATATGCTGATAAAATCTACATCAGGACTGAAAATAAAGTCAAATTTCCTAAAATTAGATCTCAATGACGAATGATTTTAACAATCTGCTCGTCTATTCAAAACCATATCTTGTTTGGTGCGCTGTAAGGGATTGAACAAGAGAATTTGAAGGATAAAAATTGAACTTTTGTTCAACTGGTCTGTCCAATCCTCGACAAAACATGCCATGTTCATAATTCATACACAGGAAAGCTTGTTCAATATAGCATGCTAAACATGACATAAAGGTTAGTAAACCATAACTGTAGACAGTAAACTACTTATGGAACATGTTATATTGGCACACATCTTGATACATAGTGGGATGGAACTTCACCTTGGACTATACCTGGCAGTGTTGTGGGTTCCTCTTCTCGTGTCACGTGAAGTATTATTGTTCCCGATAGGACAGTAATGAATCCACATATCTCAGATATTATGCTATTCATGTCCTGACCTGACCAGTCCTGCAAACAAATTAGCCATTAGTAATAATTTGTCCATGTAAACTTAGAGGTGTAATGAAGCAGGAAATGGATAACATACATTCCAAGAGAATGGGAATTACCTTGAACATTATCGCACTCGCGATGATAGTTAGAGTTGTGAACATCACATAATATATTGGAGAAACAATTGCTGCATTGAAAGTATCAAGTGCCTGAACAAAAAAGACATAGGGATCAGGAAATGTGAGAAAGAGGAAACAAAAGACGTTCATCAGAATGGAAATGAAGCACTAAGATTCATACATTGAAGAAGCTCATTTGGTTAAACAATGAAGCACTAGCTAAATTTTATCATCATGCAGGAATAAAAAAAAGGTATTTTAAGATTATGAGCACCTTGTTAAGATAATTTAACTGTGTGATCACACAGATTACTGCAACCGAAAGAAAAAACCATGTCTGTGGATATGCTGCTTGACTGATCCCCTCCAGAGTAAGCTTTATTGCAGTTCCTATAGCCTTTATGCTCATGACCTGCATGGTAACATCATCATCATCATCATAATAATAATAATAATAATAAGATGTTGATCGTGTTTGGATAAACTTAAGAAAAGGTGAAGCTACTTTTTAATTTAGTCTCCTAGCATATTTGGATAACTAACATTTTGCTTACTTTTAAGTAAAAATAGTTAATATTTTTAAAGTAACTCTTACCTTAGTTTCAAAATAAGTAATTCATTATTTCTAACTTAACCAATAAAAGAATTACTTTAAAATCTACTCATATACTTAGTCAAACATGATACAAGCATGGGAGATATAAATTTGTTTTTATCAAACAAATAGCACAATAAATATTTCCGAGAAAAACTATTACCGTAAGTGAACCCATCAACGAACAAATTCCCAAGTAAACCAGAATGTTTGTCTGTCCATAGTGGGGCTCAAAGTATATAATCAGAACAAGAACCATTGACAATGTTACTGCTTCATAAATCAGAAAAGCTGTAGGCAGAAGCAACAAGCAGAAGTGAGAAATGACTTTTTTCTGGGCAAATGCAAAAGAAGTTTTTGAAGTCAAGAAATAGGAACCTGGTTCAGTAGCCAAAGTCCAGATTTCTAGCACAGAACTTGGTGTATGTTCCTGAGGTGCATGAATTACAATTACTATTGATCCTACGATGCAGGACAAACATCCCAGAATACCCATCTGCCTTAATCGTTCCTTCAGCATAAAGTGTGCTAGAACAGCACTATTCAGATTCATCAAAGAAGTTAGTATTGTAATAGATCATCAAGAATTTCTTACAGAATTTACATTATCACACTTAATAACACAAAGAATTCAGAAATCGCACCTAACAATAATACTCAATGCACCGAGAGGAGTCACAAGAACTGCTGGGGCAAACATATAAGCAACAAAATTTGCTATCTCTCCGACAATCACTATATGTAAGCGTAATTTAAAAATTAATTCCTTTACAATGAGAATATTTTGGTTCTTTCAGAGATGAGAATGACCTAACAGGAAGCAATCATTCAAATACTTACTTGTAATCATGCCTGCCCACCAAAGAGGTTCTAACAAGTAAGTGTAGCTTCCGGTACCTGCAGGATTAGTAGCATAGAAGTGTTTTATAACATTTAACAAGTTGATTTTGCAAGAATTGGAAATCGAGATAAATGTATATCTAATTATTTCCTTATATGAAATTGTTTCAAGAATGATTATACAATCCGAGTTTTCATGGGCAGCTTCTCTATATAAATGAGTGATATAATT